TTCTTTAAAAAAAAAAGAAGAAAATATCCTTTCATCTCTGACATCAACTTCGTTGTCATAAATTGTCGAAAGATGAGACACCATGATAGTTTGAAACGATGTAAACGCACAAACTCGATGGCCCTTAAAATCTGACCTTCCTCGTGGCGTCGCGAGCCTAATTCATGAACTCATGAACCCCGATCACGTGCCTCCCTCGTTCATAAAATGTGTTTAGTATTTCTATGCCGCTCTTGATGGTCCTGCTTTTAAATTTATGGCGTGCTCTCTATGTGTGCGCTACGATATCATTAATAATGGACGTACGAGCTCGATGAACCCTTCAATGCCACGAAACACCCTCGATTCTCACGTTCAATGTTACAATGCCGTTAAAATGGCAAAATAAGAACGACGGGATGAAATGTGATCGCTCAGATTCGTAATCAGAATTTTATTTTCCATTCATATTTATTACAAATGAAAATTGGTACGTCAATCTTAAATACAAATTACACACATATTTAGTTGGAGTATGAAAAATAATTGAATCTTTTCCGTGACAATGATTGCTCTAGCTTTACTATTCTCGTAGTCTTCCTCAATCTATTCCATTATTCCAAATTATCTTTGCCAAAGATATTCGAAAAGAAATTCAAACCTAACCTAACAAATTCAAAATATCTTTGCCAAAAGAAAAGCTAATCTAATAAATTCACGGTGTTTCCCTCAATTTATCCAATTAGCTCTAATCATCTTTGTTAAGAAAACACGTAAACTAACAAATTCGTAGCTTTTTCCTCGATCTATCCAATTATTCTAAATAATCTTCGCCAAGAGGAAATCTAACCTAAAAAATTCACACTTTTTTCCTCAATTTAGCCAATTATTCCAAGCCATCTTTGCCCAAAGGAAATCTAACCTAAAAAATTCATAGTTTTTCCCTTAATACGTCCAACCATTCGAATTATCTTTACCAAAAGGAATTCTAACAGAAATTCAAACCTTCTAGTCACATTTCGTCCAATTTTCTATCTGAAATGTATAGAGTACAGAAACATTCCATATTTAACTTTTCTCTGTTCACTCACTGTATGATATCTTCTCCATTGCAAGAAGACAATGGAACAGTTGATCCCTTCAAGAGATAAGTAGTATGCCCACGATCAAAATCTGGAGCCAAGTTGGCTACCGTCGTCAGGTGGTTAACCCGAAATACGCTAACTTTGGTTCGTGTGAGTCTACGCGTTTATCTAATTCGGTTAGGCGAGTTTGCGATGTGGGATCGAGTTCGACCCTTCGTGAACCTCTAAGCCCAAGTTTCAATCAGTGAAGAAAAGAATTTTTCTGGAAGAAATAAGAGAGATTGTCTTGGCTTTTCCTTGTTCGTTGTAAAACTTTCTTACCTATGATCGAAAAATCTCTTTTGGTATAATTTATTTTACAATGATTATTGAATATTCGTGGCTATTACGGAAATAGGCACCAAGTTTGAAAGATAAATTTCTTTTATGATAGATTAAACTGATTTACTTATTAAAATATTCTGATTATTACGAAAGTAGACGCCATGTTCGTGAGATAAATTTATTAATAGTGAATTAAACTGATTTAACGCGTAAAATATTGTTCACCATCTATTCTCTATATTCTATATAAAACAAAGAATAACTTTTGTGCAGTAAATAAAATTTACTGATTATGTAAGATTGATCACTATAAAAACAGGAGTCATGTTTCAAAGATAAAGTATTCGATAGTGAATTAAATTGGTCGAATATGAGAAATATTACGTTCAGAATTTGTTTGAAAGATTAACATACAATTCCAAAATGACACTACTGGTAAATTAATTCTGTCACTTTTTCACAAATTAGTGAATCATTTTCATTAAATTAGTATTAAAACCAGAAGCAAGTATTACAGTAGTAAATTTATTGAAATAACTATTATTCAAATGAAACATTAACGTTTCCAACAGCCATTGAACGAATGATCAGAAATTTTAATGATAAATTAATCACCCTAAGCTTCCTAGAATAATATTTATAGCTCGATAAACCATCCACAAAATTAAAATATTTCCAAATTTTTCAAACATTATACTAAGCTTCCTAAAATAATATCTATAATTCAGTTGAATCCGTTCACAAGATATTTCCAATTTTTTTTTCGAGCATTACACGAACATTCGTTCCGTCACTTTACAATATCTTCTTACTGCAGTCGTGAAGAAATATTCCAAGATTACTATTCCACGCGTAAAACGTTGAATAAATGTATAGAAAAATGTGAAATTCTGCATGCAAATGCCTGAATGCATTTTCAATCTTTAATCGTCCACCTTTTTCACTCGACCTCTTATATTCCTTCCACGAGAGTAATTAAAATATCAGGAATTTACGATCATGCTCGTCGTCCGTCACGAATAACGATTCGCTATTGTAACGAGGGAAATTACACGAAATTCACTTTCGTTACCGTTGGTACCGCGACAGGGCAACACGGCTGTAAATAATTGCCGCTTTAATCATTTTAAATGCACGGATAATCTCGGATCAAGTTCAAGATAGAGCCCCGGGACAGATACAGATTATACTCGTGCACGGGGGCAGAGGTGTGTTTGCACGAAACATGTTTAATTTCGTGTAAAATAATTGAATAAACGTTTCTGACAAATAGAGAAAATTGTGTATTCTAAATAGCGTTGAGAATTGGAGAAAATTCCCCGAAAATCACTTGTGAGAACGATAAAAGAGTGGTACGTAATTTGAATGAAGTTTGATTAATATCGATTTGAATACTCTGGAACAATTTTGCTCTTCAAGCAAAAAGCTTAATTTTTTGCTGTAAGTAATATTAAAAAGTAGACAAAGTTTTTAAAAACTTGTGGTAATTTGTGAGAATGTTTGAATAATGGTAATTTGGATTAGAATCGTTGAAAGAAATGTAATTAATATTAATTTGAATATTTTGGGACAATTTTATCATTGAAACATAATGAAAATTAATTCTCCATTTGGAGATAATATTAAAAAATGTGGAGAATTGAAGAAAAGAAAACATACTCGTTTAAGAGAATTTTAGAAGAGCGATGATTCAGATTGGAATCTTCGAAATTTTGATTACTTTTATACGATTTTACTCTTAAAATTTGATTCGAGAAAAATTCTATTTGAACGGATGCAACGATTTTAACGGAATTAAGGCTGATTTTCAAGGAGCGAAGAGCTTGCACCGATCGTCGGAAGCGAATTTTCGAAACGTATCAGGAATTGTACGAAACACGAAACATCGTATTAAATCTATTATACATACCATAGAATGAAACGAGGATCATTTTTATTCGTCGATTGTCGACACGATCGATCATACCCCCGGTCAAATTATAAATCCGGAATTGGTTGGCGTTTTTGATTTTATTGAAATTAATTCGCGCGATATTAATGTCGATGTACGCGTGTACCAGTTGTATAAATCAGAATAAAAGTCGTGGAAACGAATTCGACGCGTTCTTTCAATCAAATCCTTCTGAATTATTGTCGCGTGTGAGAATCGTCAATTCTTTGACAGGATTTTCATTCTTCAATTGACTGTTTTCTTTCAACGATTGGGTACAGTTCAGCTATGTTGAATAATAGTCATCTATAATCTGTTACATCTACAGTCTCCCGCAAAATCCTAACAGAAATTAGCTAAGTATTATAAATTTATTCCCTACATCGACTACAATTTCTGACACTTTCGTTTTAATCCTTTCATTTTATTTCGGCAGCGATTTTCATCTCTTCAGAAGCTTTATAAATCTCTACACAACCAGTCGAATCCTTAGAATTCCAAAGTATCGCCAACAACCCCCTTTGAAAATGCACCTTAAACTTCCCTTCTCTTCTATACGTATTACAGTGTCCCACAAATAACCTTCCCCACCCTGTAACTCCAATTTTTCACAAATACTTCGGCGATCTTTCTTCGTTCCCCACATCCCTACGTCTCCATCATCCCCAACCACCACGATCAATCAACCCACCAACCAATCCTCATAATCACCTAAAAACCTCCAAGCAAACCAGAGTACCACCGGTGGTACACGATCATTTTTGGAAGTAGAATTTCCTTGGATTCAAGGTTCAAAACGAGATGCGCAGGAAAGTAGATTAAAGTGGCGAAAATGTAGCAGTATTGACAGTAGATACCTATCTACTAACTCAGAAAAATATTGGAACCAACTTACTTTGTCTATTCTTAAATATTTGCATTAAAATAAATGGACTAATTGTCAAATTTATTTATCAATAGCAAAATGTTTCCATGTGATATCAACGCTCTCAAACGAGGCAATGTATGTATTCTAGCATAAACAGCTCAGAATAAGTAAAATAAATTTATTTCAAAATGTATTTCTAACTATCTCTCAAAATCCCTCTAAAACTCCCATTGTCCCTATGAAATTTATTTAAAAAAACGTCCAAAATCCACAAAGGCTAACAAACGTAACAGAGTTAATTTAAATTAGTACCGAAATGTTCCCATATGATATCAACACTCTTAAATAGGCTAGATAGCTCCTATGTAAATAACCAGGGACAAGCAAAACAAAGTATCAACGAGTTCATATGCAGTTCCTCCAAAACCCCTATTTTCCCTATGATACATATTAAAGACCCTTTAAATCTCAGGAAGACCACCAAACTTCAAGAATGATTGAATGTAAAATATCAAAATACCATATGAGTGAATGCCAAATGTATATTTTTCAGTTAATTCGAACCAGTAGATACTAACATATTCCCATATGAAATCAACGCTTCCGAATAGATTACATCATGTATTACAATCTAAATACCTAAGAATAAACAAAATAAGTTTACTCCAAAATGTATTAACCCTGACTTCCTACCTTCCTCTCAAAATTCCTCCAAAACTCCCACTTTCCCCAAGAAACCTATCAAAACCCCCACTGAAACCCTTGAAAACCACCTAACCATTGAGACTTCCGAAAAAATCCTAAAAATACTAACCGGAAGATGCGGTGAATCCCGCGTGCATGCCGTACCGCGGCGCCGTCATGTGTTGCGGATGCGGCGTCGGTTGTAGCGCGGCGTGCGTCGCTGAGACAGGCGCCTGAGGATGCGTGGCCGCCGGTCGTGACAGTATCGTGTCGATACCGTGAGGATTGCTCCCTACGGACGTAATTGAAGTAGCTGGAGAATGTTTCCCACTACCGGTCGGTGATGCTTGTCCCTGAGTAATCGTCGACAAAGGTACATTGATCCTTGGCAACTGAATACCACCTGGTTGTTGTTGTTGCTGATGATGATTAAGGCTCTGTTGTTGCTGCTGTTGTTGTTGATGTTGTTGATGCTGCTGATGGTGACTTCTCTCTGCCATCGAGTGTAACGCGGCTAAAGGTTGACTCGCGGCGAGCATGCTTCCACCGGCTGCGCTCAGGTTGAGAAATTGGAGAACATGAGGTGCGGCCGCCGCGTGAAAATCGTGCAACCACGGTGGCCTTGGCGGTGGTGGTGAATGACTGGATGCCGGTGGCGGTGAACACGAGCCCAGAGAAGAGCCAGCCGAAGAGCTACGATCGCCTTCCAAGTGGCTGTTCCGTCTGTGAGCGTCGCTGAGCGACATGTTCTCGCCAGGCTGCGGCTCCGGGCTGGACCGCGACTGCGAGCAGGAATCGCCAACGGTCTCGTTGCAAGTCTTGCTACCGCTGTTGTGGTTGTTGTTATTGTTGTTGTTGTTGGTCAGAGAACACACCATCTCGCACCACGCATAGTTCGGCAATGAACGGAAAATTTCGGCCGCGATTGAGACCGGTGGAGGAAAGTTGAGTATTTCGGTGGAATTGCTGGTGGAATTGCGGGGCAGATATGAGTGAGTGAAATATGCACTGGTAACGCGGTCACTGATAAACACTGGGTAGGTATATTCACTGTTGGTCACTAACACGCTGATCCATTGTTGGCTCGAAGGTTTTGTTTAGAAGATAGTAAATTTGGGTCGATTCTTCCGGTGCCTCGAGGTGTAGATTCTGGGTTTGTTGAAGAACACTGCAGAAGTAGGAGTTCAGATTTGGTATGGGTTTTAGTTTTGGAGTTCTTGAAATGTGGATTCCTATTTTGAGATTTGAGAAGGTGGGAAGTGTTAGATTCTCAGTTGTCAATGGACTGTTGTAGATTTGTAGGTGCTGGAAGATCTTTAAAATGAATTGTAGACTCCAATTTTGAGTTTCCAGAGATTAGAATTTTTCAGTTTTAAGTTTGCAGGGACCAGAATTCTTTAGAATGAAGTGCAGACTGCAATTGTTGGCTTCCAGAAACAGGAATTCTTCAGGATGACCTTGAGACTCCAATATATCATATTCAGACTGCAAAATCCTCCAGATGCAATTGTACACTTCAAATTTCTAGGTTTCCAAAGATTGAAATATCCCAATTCTTTTGAAATCCTCTCCTTCTTAGCTCCAATTACAATCTTCCACTTCAATACAATGCTCCCTGAGATGACAATATCTCAAAATCAATTCCACTCGAATTTCTTCAAATCCTCCACTTTTCAGCTCCAACTACAATCTTCCAGAAAGACTAAAATCTCTGAAAATCAATTTCAGAACCAACCACAGACTCCAACTTCCTTCGTCTCCGGATATACTCCAGGTCTCACACCTTTCTCCTCCACAACCTCCACTTCTCAATTCGCAAACGTTCCCCAAGGAATCCGAATAGAACTCGTAGAAAAAACTATACGTAGCACCAAAAAAACAGTCCGACCAACGTGGCAGAACCGCGTCGTCGTCGTCGTCGTCGTCGTCGTCGAGGGCCCGTTGCGATCGCGGTCGAGGACACTATACTAATGGGGGGTAAGCGAGGGTCTCGTCTCACCAAGTAGTATGCGACTGGGGGGGTGCAGCGAGGAGAACACGTAGCCGTGGGTTGGGATAGATCGCGCTGATAGGTTCACCGTGGCCGGCTGCTGAACGCGAGAAATGCGTGGATTGGCGTGTAGAGAATGGGAGGGGCGTACGCCGAGGGGCGTTCCTGCGCGGTGATTGGCTCGAGCGCGGTCGTTCCTCCGGCACGAGAGGTGTTCCGGGCGGGGCCTCTCAATCTCGCGTTAGCTTCTTGTTAAGCGTCTTTCATTGTGTGTTTAAATTCGTAATTTATGATCCCGACTGAATAAAACAAGAACTCGCCGGCTCGCTTACTGGCTGGCTGGTTGGCCGGCTAGCTGGCTTGGCTGAGCTGTTTGGCTGACTGGCTCGCTAGTTTGCTCGACAACTGGGCACCTCTGTATGACTATGGTGACACTACCGCCTCGATAACTTCCTTGCTTCCTTGCTTCCTTCCACTCTGTATATACTTACTTGTGTGCGTCTGCGTGTATGTATACGTATGCACGGGGTGAACCGGGTGCAATGTGACCAGAAGATCTCTGTTAGTTTCATTGTTATCGGGGGATTGATTGGAAATTCATTTCGACACAGTTCAGATATATTAACCCTTTCGTGTTAGGTGAATAATTTAGGTTAGGTACTCTATTTACGTTTGACTTGCTTGTAACCCTTCGACTATGGTTACGCTTTATTTCGTGCATTTTTCGTTCTGAAGAATGCTTAATTACCTATAACAATCGAAACAGTTCATGGTATTCAGTTATTTAAATAGTTGCTATACATAGTATAACAATATGTCCTTAACTGTGTCGTTTCAGTAATAACAATCAATGTGTTATACCTACTCAATTATACAAGGTGTCTTATTTGTAATAAATATCTAAATTATTTACCCCTCGTATTAATAAAGGTAAAATAAGGTCCCTCCAAGATCATTTTGAAGGTCATTCCAAGGTCACCGACATATTAACGTCTGTTTCTCTATAATGTGACGCTTTAACATCAAAACGAGTTCTTAATTTAACGTGACCTTACACAGTAAACGAAAAAACGTCGATGATCTTGAAATGACCTTCGAGATGATTCTGGAGGAAACTTTCTTTTACCAATACCAGATGTAAGACCGATACCTCAAATCAACAATGTAATATTAAACTCCTCTTAGTAATTTTTTGTCTTGCTTTCAACGAAAATAATTTTCGCCGTTCGTTACAAACAAGACACCCTGTACAATACCAACACTGTACGATCGTGCAGGTTTCTGCGTCTCTGTCCTCCTCCAAGCCAGCTTTCCAGCCATTCAAGTACGCGTAGAACCGAGCAAATCGAGTTATTTGCTCCGGATGGTCCATTTGGCTTGTTCCTACGTATGGCGATGCACGTGTCAACGAGAATTCGGTTACTTCGTCCGGCTGAACCATCGCCACCAGTATGACGTAACTAATGTGTCACCGATAGACATGCTTGTACTTAGATATTGGAGTGCGAGGTACGCTACTCTCTGGCTTCTGACCAATCTGACGATCGACACCGAACCGAAAAAGCTCTTCGCGTATTTTTCACACGGCGAATGAATTATTTATACTACATATGTAGCCTTATACCTAACGATATCTTCTCTTCCGCTGTTCGAGGTGTGTTGAAGACTCTCGTCGGGGTTGTCTAGCGTCGAATCAATGGATGTGGCTCCGAAGGGTGAAGTGTTGTTCGAAGTGAAATTGTTTCGAACGGATAGGAGGGATGGGATATAGAGATTTGATGGTACTTTTGCCAGATGCTGAGATGCCAAATGAAAATTGGATTATATATTAACCATTTCGAGGATTATGTACAATGTCCAGATACGGATTACTTGTACATTATTTATGTATAGGTATAACTACATTAGGGTCAATTTAGGTCAATATTCCTGAAATTATTTTTAACGCTTAACAGAATGTGAGAACGAAGCGAGGAATTGCGGAGTTTGATTGCTCGGGAATGTGGAAGGATGGAAATTCATTGGAATTGCGACAATTGTAGAATTACTCAGAATTCGGAGTATGTGGATGTTTGTTGGAATTGTGGCGAGTTACTTTTGAAATTCTTTGGAATTGTTAGTGCTCGGCGTGGAATTGCGGTGGTTGACTCTTTTGGAACGGAGAAGGATGAGAAATGATTGAAATTCTGGTGATTATTTGCAGAATGTACTCTTCCTTTCGGAGGGATGGAATCTCTTCGTGGTACCTAGGTTGCTTCGAATTTTCATATTTTAAAGCTTCGTTGTTTATGGTAATTTACAGAGAATTGTGTATTTTGTGGAGTGGAATTTTTTTCCACGATACACTTCACTTGAAATTTTCATTTCTTAAGGTACCTCGAGGCATGGTGATTTAAAAAAGAGGATTTGAATTTCCTCAGGAGGAATGGAATTGCCAGTATGGAGGAAATCACAGTGCGTGGATGTTTTCCACGATTCAGTTTATTCGAAGTTGTTGGAACACGATGCTCTCTGGAATGTTAACGACTCGGCGCTGAGAGTCCAATACTCTGGGAGATTAGTTCGCCTCTATTCCCTATTACTTCCGTTAACTTAACCTTTTATTAACTAAATAACATTTTTCCACCATAATTTTACGAAATTTTACCTATTTACAAATTTTTTAGTAAACATTCTTTCATTAAAGTTGATGATAAAAAGGACTGTAGGTAAGTAGGTACCTACCAGTAATAAAAATATTAAAGAATTAATCTTTTAAGGTACCACACTACTTTATATAATTTTAGAATATTCATATTTTAATTTTTCAAAATCTATTCAGTAATTTTTTAAATTTTTTAAATAATTTTCATCATAAATGTGTCATATTTATTTTCTCTTTTAAAAATATTCCCCAGTATTGTTTCGTTATCTACCTGAAGCTAATTTCGATTTATTTCCACGTGCAATAGATGGGGAGCGAGCAATTGTGGTCGATACAGATCTATTAGGGCCGGTTCTCGTAATAATCCGCATTAAACGGGCGCGATACAACCCGGTATAATAATATAGAGACAATGATACGCGATAAACGGGCGACGCTTCATGAAGACGCGGCATATGGCGCGTTTTATGACGCTGCTCGATAGCGCTGTTTCAATTATGGAAAATAATCTGTCGATCCTGTCTTTAAATAAGATGACTTATATTATATTGTCGTACAATCATTGATATGTATCATTTTATTTGTAATTCGATTGTGTATTCAGCCTTAAGTACCTCTGCACCCCGTTGTTTTAAATTCTTTCTTTTTCTGGTAGAAAGAAAGAAATTTATTTTCACTTTTGAAATTACAAAGATTACAGTTTTTATTCGTCGTTAATAATTGTACAAATCATTTGGAAATTAATAATGAATCTCATATTATACTACGAAAACTTTGTTTCATATGTCGAAATATTCTTTTAACATCACTCGTTAAAAAAAATTGAAAAATATTTCACAGATAATTATCATAGACACGAATTTCGACACTTTTGAAACTTCATCAGTAACCCTTTGAACTCCAATTTAATTAAAAAAAGTTCCAGCATTATTCCATCTATTGTTACTAGATTTAAACCACTCCTCATTTTCAATTAAACCTACTATCAATTTTTATAGTAAATTTCTAACATTACTTTACCTATTGTTATTTATTTGTAAATTTATATTGGATGAAATTGAACTTCTCTTAATATCCAATTAAGACACTTACTGAGTGTAAAGCAAATCTAAACAATCATTACAAAATTATTAAGTGAGATACCTACTAAATCTGACGAATTCGTATGTTTAGGTAACAGTTTCTATACGAACACACAATGAGTCTCCTAATACTTCATGAACTTATAATAAATTCACTTCCAC